TTCATTGAACTTTCTTCAATGGCATGTTTCAATCTCGAGTGTGCCCTTCAAGTTTTGTGACTGGGATGCCGAGGATCACAAAACAAGGTGTGAAGTAACCATGCAAATTACTTGGTACCCTTAATGTATTACCCCTCAATCGATGTGCCGGTTAACCACACACGCTCCATCGATACTATGATAAACATTAAGTCACCCTTTACCTACCTTGTTAAGTTCAAGTTAGTGTGCCGGTTAACCACACACGCTCCACTAACGACTTAAACAAAGTGTAAAGTGTAATTTCATGGATTAGCACCTTATTCACATTTTCCTAAAATAACTAAGATTGGGAATTCAATAAAGTTTAGTTACTTTAGTATTATCATTATACTTTTAATGAGAATTTATAAGTCCTTGTCCTACCCGTTCGGCTAACGACCCTCCACCGATCAAGGAAGCGGTGGGTGAGAGTGGACACCCATTAAGTTGCCATTTTATAGGCAACAACCTTATACCCCCCTTATAGACCGGCTTCGTGAATGAGGCGTACTAGCGGTAAGACGACTTGATCTTATACATATATAAATATTATTAAACTTATAATATTATAAAGTATAAGGGTTGAATTTTAACTTTTAAAATTCTAGGGGTTGGAACTAAAGTTTTTAATATGACTTTACATGTTCCAAAACTTGAGGGCAAGTTTTGTAAACTTTCAAAACTTTTCATTTCTCATAACTTATGAGTTAATGGTTATTAAAAATGAAGACTCTTCATTTTTTGTAACCTATGTGTTCTTTTAATGGTTATTTATAAATGTGACTTTTGGTTATCCATAACTTAAGAACTAGTTATGGACTCCATTAAAACACATAAAGATCAAGAATTAATCTAATCAATTATTAGCACATAATTTCTATGATCTTCTAAACTCATATGTTTATGAATGTTCATATCAAAAATTTCAAGAATCGTAAGTACATATACAAAACTTGAAATTTTGATACGAGCTTTTGAACAAAACTTCGATTTTCAAGTTTTTTTTTTTTTTTTTTTTTTTTTTTTTTTTTGCATCAAGTATCAAATAAACAAACCAGGCTCTGATACCACTGATGGGTTTTGAGCATTCTAACACTCCTATGGTGTACATGCAACCCTAGAAACCTTGGATCTATGTTTGACTAAGATACATGCAAATAATTATTTTTCCAAGGTTCTTATCCTAACTAGCATGGCATGGGGTACTTGAATCAAATAAAACTAGTAGAATTACTTACCTTGTAGTAGTAGTTGATTGCTTGGAGTTTGAGAGCCTAGCACCAATAATGTGGATGCCTCAAATGGAAGTCACAAATCACCACAAACTTGGAAACTTGAGAGAATAGTCACAAACTTCTTGAAATCGGCCCTCTTAGTTTACACACATCAACTAGTGCAATTTCAAGAACCAAAGCCTCCTTTATATAGTGTGGTGGATTAGGGTTACATCCATGTAAACCCTAATACCCATGTCTTTTCATTTCCATGAGATCCATGGGTTAAAGCTCCATGGAGTATCCATGGACTTTCCATGCAAGCCTAGCCCATTCCAAATAAGCATTAGCCCACACTATATAAATACAAGAGCCCATATTTAATTAGTCATACTTTTGATCTCTAAATTAATTCTAAATTAATTATAGATCAACACTAATTAAATAATATGATTTTATATTAATATATTAGAACTTATAATATATTAATAAATCATAACTTATACTATTCTCAAAAGATTATCCGTAAATTGTTCGGGTGAAGTGCAACCCAAATGGACCATGCCGGGTCGGGTCAAGTACATACCAAATATAGTTATGGACTTAGACACTATATCCAACAAACCCTTGGAGTGGCAAACTCCATTGTGCACTTTCCCGTACGTGCTACACCGACCCCATCCCCTGTTGGCCTTGCACCCGATGATCAGAAGTCTTGGGTCTCTCCCCAGGACCCTCTACTACACGCAACTGCCACGACCCTTCTATTCCATGGTGCTCCAAATCGATACGCATCTGCAACTCTTGGAACCATATCCTTCGGGTCTGACACCCTGTCATGCTCACAGCTCACTTGCCAATGGTTAAGCTGCAACAACTGGAAACATCCTCTGTCCCCCAAACGGGTCCACAAAACTCCTCCCAGAAGCTTCTCAGATTCTCCAAGACTCTCACCAATTCGAGTATAGATCCTATGCTTTCAGTAGTACGAACCCAATACTACCTTCCACACCTATCCATACTTTCCTCAGCAATCCTCCCGAATCTCCAAGTCTTCCTCAAACTGGTACACCCAAGTCTCACTGAGCTCATTATTAACCCCACTGAAACAATCCAGGTTTTCCTAGGTTCCCGTACTCACCCAATCCTCAGCTGCTGAAAGATTCCCAGTAATATGAACTAACTAGCTCACATTACTAAGAGTCCCACAAAGCACAAAGCAAGCAGCATTCAGGACAATGAAACTCTAACCGTTCATCTTCCAATCAAACTATTATATCCCTCTACTCAGAATCTATACATGCAAATCAAAGCTCATACAATCAGGCATAACTTAAACGGCTATCGTATCACTGACTGATCAATACTATCATGCAGCTCATTAAGCACTACAAACAGGCATATAAGGCATCTTCCTAGATCCTTAGCCCTAATCTAGCATTCAGTTCTCATCATCATATCATATCATAACATGTATAGGTATCTTGGGGAAAACTTACTTGAGCTCGACTGATTTCACGCATCACACACCTTGTTCTTCTCAAAGTTCTTTTCTCTTTTCAAATTCTTTTCAAACTCCTTTTTAATAAATGATTTTTTTTGTGAAAATTTTCATTCCAAGTCCTTAGTTTGAGTCCCGAATCCGTCAAACCAAGGCTCTGATACCAACTTGTAACATCCCAAAATTCAAGACCAAAAATTTCGTTTTAATTAAGTTATTACAAAACCGACAGTATAAGAAAACATCCATAATAACACATCATGCCCAGACCAAAGTAGAATTCATCAAAACATGTTATCATAAGACAATATCAGAGTGTAATGCCAAAGATCTCATGTGCGCAAGACCATAGTGTGATGCGCTGCGATCGAGCCGTCCTTTCCTTGAAAACGTAGTACCTGGAAACCAAAACTGAAAACCTGTAAGCACGAAGCTTAGTGAGTTCCCCCCATCATACCACTTACCACATAATGCCTATCCCTCGGTATGTTTCAACCGGTATCTGTCTGGCATAACTGGGAGCTGGGCTCCCCTTCAGTATCTTTCAACTGGTAAATGGGGACTATTTCACCCCTACTAGTACTAACACATATCTCATAGCATTCCAGCACATAAAGCATATCAAATAGTGGCAACCAGATAATTATCACAAATATAATCATCTCAAACATAATCACCTACTGGTGGGCCGACATTGGTGTCTTAGACCTACCCCTACTGGAAGGTAACTCACCTTACACTACTGAAGTCCCGCAGATGAAACTCTAGCTGCCGGATGACAAGTTCTCGAACTGTCAATCATCAAAATAACACCCAATTAATAATTGGGTTCCAACACAAAAATCATAAATCCATGCTTGGAGTAAAAGACTGCTTTACCCCTATCTTAGCTTGATTCAATCCCAAGGCCCAATCCAAAGGTCCAAAAGTCAACTATGAGTCAAAGCCCAACATATGGCCCACTATCCAAATTGGGCCCAAACCTTTACAAGGTCTTACCACAATGCCCAACCTTCTAGTCCAGTCCAAACATCGACATTTCTAATGGCCCAATGTCTCTAATCATAAAGGCCCAAACTACAGCCCATCTATGGCCCAATTTTCCAAATTGGGCCCAACTCCTCACATGGGCCTTACCTTAAAGCCCATTAATTATTCTAGTCCATTTGCTTGATCTTGGATGGCCCATTCATAACACAATCATCAAGGCCTAATAGAAAGGCCCAACAATAAACCCAAGTGAAATTAGGGTTTCACATAAAATGACAATTAGGGTTAAGTGTGAAACACTTAACCCATTAATGACTTAATCCATTAAGTCCATCACTCTTCTAAATAAATCATATGGTGTGATTGGGCTTAATACACAATTCCATTCCAATGGCCCAAATGTAGGTCCCGATAAGACTAAGCCCATAAATCCAATATTAGGGTTTTCTAAACCCTAATTAGGGTTTCCAACCTCATCTTAGCCCAATAGGCCCAATAGTCACATGTGGGTTTTAGGTCATTTAAGGCTTTATTGGGCCAATTAGGCTGTCATTGGGCCCATTAGGGTTTATTAGTCCCTTGTCCAAACATCCAAACGAGTCACAAACAAACAAGGCACATCGCCACCGACACGGCGGCCGGTGGCGGCAGCCACCACCTCACGGGGGTGGTTTTGACTTTCTTTCCCTTATTCCATTTTTTGTTACAATCTACAATGAAAATACCAAAAGTACACACACACACAACTAAGCTAAACACACACACACACACACACACATAACCACCTTGTGGTGGGCGGCGGTGGCGCATGGCAGCAGTCACCACCTCACGGTGGTGGCAGTGGCTTTCTTGGTCTTCCAGCCACACAAAACACACATTCATACACTTCAGGTTGCACTAACACTCCACCACCCACCTGGTGGCTCATGGGGGCGACAACAATGATTTTATGATGGCATCCACCACCTCACGGTGGTGGCGGTGGTATCTTTTGCTTCCCAGTCAAGCAGCAACTACACCGGTAAGCCCTTGCTTGGAAATCTGGACGCAATCACCACTTGGTGGTGCGTGACGATGGCAGCAGCAAATCCTAGCTGCCATAGCGGTGGCTAACAGCGGCGGAGATGTACAGCGGAACAAGGTGGCAAAAATGATGTAACCATTGGAAAGAAATGGAGAAAGGAGAAGGCTGAGCGACGGCGAACTGAGCAAAGGAACGCACCCAATCACAGCCACCCTTGCGGTGGCTCATGACAGTCGGAGGAAAAAAAACTATGGAACATCCTCCTTCGTCGGTTGTACAAGTGGTGGTGGTGGCTAGCTGCTGTGGAACGGTCTCAGAAGCGGGTGGTTCTCGTTGTCGCCGGCAGCAAGAAAGAGAGAAGAGGGGTGGCGATCGGAGGTGAAGAAGTGGGAGTGGCGGCCGATGAGGGAGGCATAAGAAGGGTGACGGCTGATTGCTTCTATTAAGGTTAGGGTTAGACAATGAAACCATATATACCCGTGTACCACAAAAATTAATCCCATAATGACATAAACAATCCTTCCCTTCAGAAATAGTTTCGAAATAGATCCCATAATTTACCCTTTTAACCCCTCCTTTAGAAAACCCTTACAAATTAAGTCCGAAATTTACCTTTTAGCCCCAGCCATCCAAAAACCCTTCAAATTCAGTCCAAGTAATTACTATGCAGCCCCTCCCTCAACAAAACCTTTTCAACTTAGGTCCAGAATTTACCCTTTAGCCCTTGCTTCCATAAATCCTTTCATATTAGGTCCAATGATACCACACACCCCCTGTCTTCCAACAATCTTTACAAAATAAATCCCGGAACTTACACTTTTAACCCCAACTTCTAAATTATGCCAGTTAACTCCTCGAAATCAACACCTTGCCATATAATTATTGATTTTAGGGCTATTATACATTCATTAATTTGTTTATTTATTTATTAAATAAACGGGGTGTTACACTTCTATTCTCGCTCTCGTCTATTCCTTGCTGCATCCAATTCCAATTTGAACAATAATCACTACAAACCTAAACAAAAACTCAAAAAAATCACAAAACCATTTTTTTTCAGTATATGTGTTCAAAAGATCATTCGAAATTGCAAGAACCAAATATCCATGCTTAGTATCAGTGTACCCGTCCCAAAACCCAGATAATCTTTTATAAGTATTTGCACTTGATCCAAACTCTAATCATTTTCCCAATTTTCAGATCGATCACTTCCAACATTAACTTAATCGATGCAATATATTTAAATTAGTATCAAACTCGATTGTGAAACAGGCGTGTAAAGCAGATGAATTTGCTAAACCTAAGTACACATTGATGTGTTAAGGAACTGGGATCTGAATCTGAAGCGATGAGGTAGACGATACCCTCCCCCAATTAGTGACCACCACCCACCTTCTTGTCGGTCATGCATTTGCAAAACGAACACCTCCATCAGAGTTTCCATACAATCTGGTTCAAACCCACCTTACTGGCACGAGCGACTTGCTATTTTCCTTTTTCGAAGGTGTGCATTACGGGACTCTGTCGACATCACCTTCTCTACTGTCTTCTCCGGCGACGGTGGGGTTGTAGGAGATGAACATCAAAACACCGCCAGAAGATGTATGACACCGAGATGCAGGTGAATCTGTTGACGATTTCAAAAGGAAACGACGGATCTAAATCTCCATCGATGGAAGATGCTTGGGGGTGCCGAAGGGGCTTTTAGACAGAGAGATGGGGAGTTGTGGTGGTCAACTGAGTCTCTAAACAAATGTCGCAGATCCTATATTATACCATTTTGTTCTTGCCGGATATTGATGGTGGATGGGGATTATCGGTTTATTTGCAAATGGGCCATTGGAGAGAGAGAGAGAGAGAGAGGGAGAGAGAGAGAGAGAGAGAGAGAGAGAGAGGTGGGCCCTCTTATTTTTTTATTGTTTAAATAAATAAATAATTATTAGATATAAGAAAAATGAAAGAAAAATAGAAAATAAATACCCCAAAGGTATTAACGTCATTTCAGTTTACCGATGGTCCAAATCCGCAACGAAACTAGCTCTCAAAAAGACTACTAATCTAAAATTGTCAGAGTTTGGACTAAAACCCAAAAAGAAAAAATACAACAGGGACCATTTTTGCAATTTTTTCTAAAGATTATATCTCAGATATCGAAAAGGACCATTTATAAGGTTTTGTAATTTAGATTCATTTGTGTTTTCAAACTCGACAAGGTAGGGTAAACGACTGCACGTCACATGTCCAACTGTTGGTCAAAACATGGCATTGACTTTTTAACCAAAACAAAGAGAAGGAAGGATTATAGAAAAGAAAACCCGCCTTTTGGTTTTGGCTCTCAGTCGCTGGATCTTCTTCATAATCGATAACCCGTTGATCGAGCGCTTGCAGATCGTTACGCAGGTACTCTCATCCTCTATATCTAAATGATTCATTTTGTTTCTTCATGCTCAAAACCATGGATTTGGATATGATAAGGGGAATATAAGTTAGGGTTTTGTTTCTTCGTCGTATAAAAAATAATAACTATATCGAAAACGAATTGCATTTGTAGTCTTTTAGATCTGTTCGTAATTGTTGATATCATTTATTCTGTAACTGCCAGTGTTGTTGCAACGGTTGAGTCCAGGCGTTTGATTAATGGGATAAAAGCTTAATTCCATGATTTGTTGATTCACAATAACAAATTGGCGCTAAATTCGCGCATGAAATATTGTGAATCCATGATACATAATTTCAAATCAACCGCTATTCATTAATATTGTTGAAATCATCGAGTTAAGTATTTCAATTGATAAACTAATTAATTCATGCTAAAATGGGGATTTCATGGTCTGTTAATGGTGATTTGGGAGATACGAAATGTATGATTTCTGCCATATACAGATTTGGAAATGGAATCAGATACAGAACATAATCATAATGGCAGTAGCATGATGATCGAGCAGGATGTTCCACTTCCACATAGCAAGCAGATTGATCCATCAAAAGCTCGCTTTCCATACTGCATAGTATGGACACCACTCCCTGTTATTTCATGGCTCCTTCCTTTTGTTGGTCATGTTGGGATAGGCAAAGAGGATGGAGTCATCCTTGATTTTGCAGGTCCAAATTTCATCTGTGTAGATAACTTTGCATTTGGAGCTGTGTCTCGATATGTCCAAATCAACAAAGAAAAGGTAAACCATATTCTTCAGCTTTGATTCTTTCCAAGTCATTCATGATTTCATTCATCTTAGTTACTAATTTACAATCATCCCCTTGTAACTAACAGTGCTCCATCACTCCCAATCCTTCAACATCAACCATGTTCAGAAGTGAAGAAGAGTATAGACTAGTGGAATCAGGAAGAAACCAATACAACACATGTGGATGGGATGATGCCTTGAGAAAAAGCACACAAGAATACCAACATAAAACCTACAACATCTTTACTTGCAACTGTCACTCATTCGTGGCCAATAATCTAAATCGGTTGGAGTTCCAGGGTGGCAGGTGGAATGTGGTAAACTTGGCTGTATTGATCCTGTTGAAAGGTCAATGGGTGGATACAAAATCTATGGTTCGATCTTGTCTTCCATTCGTGTTCTTTTTCTTCATTGGAATCACCTTTGGAGGCGTAAGTTTTCTAACATTTTTGTCTTGTTTTGCATTTCTTGTTGTTGGATGGTTTCTTTGTGGTAGTTACTGTTTCAAAAGCTTCATACAGCTCTAGTGACTCTTTCATGTGGATCTTTTTACACATCTTAGTATTTGTTACATTTTTGGTATCCATGATTCTTGTATATAACAATTGGCTTTGATCACACAATTTTCATTCAATTATATATCACCATCAACTCAACTGCACAGAAACTTGAAATGAATGTTTACAACTTTAAAACCCCATGATCTTTACTAACTTATTGGAATCAGAATTTCTAATCTATGATTTAATTTGAATAAAAAGTAAAAACCCTGTAAAGAAACTGAAACTAGTCTAAATCGCCTTCCTTGCCTAAATAACAATTAGTGTTAATTAGTTTTTACCCATTTGTTTTGGGCGTTTAGGTTATACCATGTTAACCTTGACCCGTTGAAGTTGGAGTACAAACAGCTTCAACTGACAAGCGTTTCAATGTGTTTGGACACGGGTCTTGACCAAAGTTGGTGTTTGATATTGCAACTGCACATCTATCTTCTCCTATGCACCTCTGTAGAGTGTAGAACATAAATAAATTCCATTAGTCCCTGTACAAGTACAACCATCTATGCATGTAGTACAAGCCAACAAAATAGATTAGTAGTATGTACCTTGCTAATGACATCATACGATGTAGGAGCATGGCAAGTTCCTTGTTGGAATGAGCCACACGCTCCAACAGGAGTTCCAAAGCTTGCAAATTTAATGGAAGAGATTAACAAGCCAGGACTACACTGAAGATGAATCTTTGGACTATGAAATACTTGTGTTTGCCCATAGGTTTCATTACGCCAATTTTTTATGTTGGTGTGATATTCGACCACGTCAGCACACACACTTGTCATTGATCTTTTTGCCAGTAAAATCCCTGTGGGATCGCCCCCAAGTTCTTCAAAAAGCACCAACAGATTGCCTGTTGGTTTTAACCATGACCTAGGCACATGGTACCTGCATCATTACACAAGTGCAAATACAATACCAACTTTAATATCTTTAAACTTATGTTATTGAAGTTTGATATCAAAGCATAAACTTAAGCGAATTAGATGATGATCTATGAGTCTGTATCAGTATGTATGTACCATCGTTGGGTTGGTCGACCACAGCCAACTTGACACTTAGAAGGGCGATAAGATCCGGTATAATGACACTGTTGGCAATTACCAGTGGCATAAGCGGTCCAATATCGTCCAATGCTTTGACCATTGACCCACACTTGACCTTTTCCCATGCTACTCATATCCAGGGCCAATGGCTCTTCGCCATCTGGCTCATTGAAGTAAGCCTGAAAACATTCAATACAGTTAATTGTGTTAGGGTAGGGTTGTCACCACATCTCACTGGTTCGGGTTCATTTTCATCGTACCTTGTGCCACGTCAGCGGTTGATTGTTTTGGGTGATGAGTGAACCCTGCACCCATTCAACCGAAGAAGGCATACGGTTGGTGGAGACAACATTCATGGCTTCACCCTTCAAACCAATCCGGTAAGACCATTTTGTATGGGTCAAGTCCAGTTTCCCGTGGTCAAGACCGTATAGAACCACCGGACCTAGGACTCCAGTCTCCCAACTTTCATAATGTCCCCCGATATTCTTTCAAATTTCAAAAACAAAATATTCATGTTAGGTTAGAGTTTGGAATTATCACGATAAAGAGACACAAGAAGAAACAAACCGATAGTCCCATGGCTACACTAAGCAACGCGATTTTGTTCCTTCCAGAAAGGAGTCTGATCTTCTCCCTGTAACTGATTCTCCTATCTTCACGTGTTCCAAAAATCGAACCAGAAAGTTTTCCGTTTATGAAAACATGAAGAGCATGCCCGCTTGACTCTACCAACAGTCTCGGATGCTCCCCGTTATACAAGAATGACTCAGTAGGCGCAACATCGATACTGTAAGTGTAAGATCACAAGTTTAAGTCATCAACACTCTACTGTCTCTTTGCAAAATATTTATATTTAAAAAAAAAAAAATACAAGGACAGAAGTCTTACGTGGTTGTATACCAGAGATAATCACTAGAATCTCTAGTGACATTTACTTGGTCCAAAAGACTAAACGAAGTGAAAGCAGAGTCCACATCACTAGTCGTTAAATCTTCACTAAATGTCTCCCATGAAAACATTTGGGAATTCGCACGTAACATCGTTAATCGTGTTGATTGAACTCCAATCTGCAAAATTCCATACACATTACATTAAAAACAAAACATGCCAAGATGAAGATGTCCTCCTGCATAAGTGGCCTAGTGATAAGAATATAGGAGAGGTTTCATGTTAAAAACATGCCAAGATTAGTGAAACAGTAAATGAGCAACATACTTACTTTGGCGGTATTGAAGACCATATTGAGACAATCAGGAAGAATGCTGATGGACCATGCTGGTAGGTTATGATGCCTCTGATTGAACATTACTCGTGAACCATTATTTGTGTCATAGTTTGAGAGAAAAGCCGAACAGTGTCCTAATTTCGAATAGAATACATGTGCCTGAAAATTGGTAAATCATTAATTTAGTACAAAATTTTTCGATTCCCTTGTATTTTTGTCTAAAATTTAAGCTCGAGATAAGATAAGAACCTACCTGTTGACGGGGTCCTAAAGAGACGATAATAGGATCGGAAGCAACCAAACCCGGTTCACATTGCTTGATTGCTTTGTGAAGCTCCGCCAAATGCCCGTATTTCGGTTGTCTAATCAATCCTATAAACAAAGATTCATTCTTTTAAGGTCAAAAATGACAAGAGTCAAAAAAAAAAAAAGTATTGATATAATACCATATTCATCAATGGGAGCATCGTAATCGTAACTAGTAGTGACAAAAGGACCTCCAGCAGTGCGACCAAAGTTGGTACCTCCATGGTACTGTATTCAGGTATTTTATTTTAGACAAAAGATTTCAAATTTAAAGAATGGTCAAACTCAAACTCTGAAATTATAAGAAAAGACAAACCATGTAGTAATTGACAAACGATCCTCCCTTTTGTATGAATCGTGCAACAGCAAATGCGATATCTTGAACAGGCCTCCTATAACTTGGCCCACCAAATTCTGTAAACCTGTAACAAAATGTTTACGTTTTATTTTATAAAAGATAAAAATCGGATTAATTGAATGATTGGGTAAGTTACCACATTCCATCCGGTCCATGCCTCTGTCCAAATTTTGGGTTTGTAAGGCTTGTTGGGGGTAAAAGCGTCGCAATAGAAACCATTACATGTGTTTATCTATCCAAATAGTTAAAATTACTAAGTTTTTTTAAAAAAGATTAGTGTATACGGGTCGGGTCGGATGGAGCTTACAATAGAATCTGGAGCATCATCTTGTTTACACATGGTCCAAGGGACACCTGTACGTAATCCAACGGCCATTTCTGCAGCCCAAGTTATGTAGTTATGTCCAAATGCACCATACTCGTGTCTAGAGACCCGTACTCATTCTCAATCTGTAATGTAATAAATAATCAATGGAAATCCATGGTCATGCTTTCCTTTACTTGCTTGTACATTGTGTTGCAAAAAGTGTACCACAACACAAAACCTCAAATCTACAACTTTTACTACATAAAATAATACAACGTGTGTATATTGGAGTCGAGAAATAACTAAAAACAAAAATGATTTAAAATTACGAATTTACCTGTGAGAGTATAATTGGGCCTCCTTGAGATTCATACAAGTTTTCACTTTTCATCAA